GGCACAGCACACACCGAGAGTTCCCTCGGGCCGGGCCGGGCACGGCACACACTGACAGCCTCCCCGAGTCGGGTCGGGCACAGCACATACACCGACAGCTCTCCCGGGCCGGGCACGCCGTAGATCGCAGAAAGAAAATCGAAAATAATCCCAGCCCCGCTGATTGCCCTGCCATCCCTTCTGTGTGTCCAGGACTGCTCCAGACTCAGCCGCCTGGCAGCTTGCCCTGACGCCTCCAGGTCTGCCTGTCTGCGGGCTCTGTCAGCTGGTGCCCGCCCAGCCGCGGCACTTGGCTAGGGAAGGATGGGTAAGCTGGTCAGAAATACTCTGTGCAGGTGTCCTCAGAGCTGCCCACCGGCTGGGACTGCAGTGTGTCCCTGGGCGTTAGGGATGGAGGCAGGTGGGGGTGCTTGAACCCACTCGTAACCTGTGGCTGATGGTGCTGCGAGGCTGGTGGGTCCCAGATGGCACTTCTTAGATTTTCCCTGTGGTGCTACCAATAAGGGCTCAGACAGGTAGAGATAAAACAGCTTTTCCCAGGTCCATGAGAGGTTCTGTGCTAAGCAAAGCAAAGTTTGGATCTCCATCACTGAACCCCAGGTAGCAGCCTCCTGCCTAGATGTCTGTGAGCAGAGGGGTGAGAGCAGCTCCCTTGTCTGTCCCCAGCTGGGCCTGGGGCCAGATGTTGTGCCCACATGCAAGCTGCTATCAGTGTGGCTTGGCAGTGATTTGTGCAAGCTCTCTGGGGAACTGAACTTCAAACAATGCAGGGAGCATTACAAAAGATTACATATACATGTATATGTGATGCTATTTCACAAAACCAGCGTTTTAACAATATAAAATGGTTTGCCAAAGGAGAAATATGATTGAAAGAAAGCTGTGAAAGGGTTAATCTGGGCGAGCTCTCCTGGGTGCTCTGGTTCACAGGGTCAGGCTCAGGAGGGCAGGCAGCACCCACAGTCCCCTTCAGGGTCAGCAGGCCTGGCAGTGCCAGTGCTTCCAGAAACCAGACTGACAGTTTAAGCAAATGAGTTCATGCTTTTAAGGGCTGATGGGGTTAAATGAGCCCAGGCATCCCAACATTCCCCTACAAAACCCACACCTGAAGCAGTGCTGGCTCCCAGAGTCAGGTGGGAACCACAGGGTAAGTTGTTGTTGGGAGCATCACCCACCCATGCCCTGTAAATGTTTTCTCCTTGAAGCTAATCTGTTTGCTGTATATTATGCGGGTGAAAAATGAAAGGGTAGCTGAGACCTAAGTTTCTCCTCTAACCTTTCCTGAGTATGTGCTGCTTTAACACTTACAACTTTGCCTTTCTGCCTGCCTTCCTGCACTCAGGCCATATTCTTAAGCTTTTCCAAGCCATCCACACAGGTAAAAATGCACTTACTGTCTAAGAGGTTCAGGGTCCTTCTTATTGGCTCCAAAGGCCTTAAAGATGTTGTGAAATGGAAGGAGCTGAACATGTGAGATCTCATGTAAGGCCTTTGGTCAGGTTAACTGTTGGGGCCTGGCTAGCAGAGGAGCTGTAACTTGACCAACAGTTAAAGGAATGCTTAAGCAATTAAAAACAAGACACACAAAATAGGTCTTGCTGACCTTGTTTCTATCTTCATGCATTCCTGTGTCTTCAATCCAACACCTTATAATGGTCTTGTTCTCTCCTGCTGCCAGGGTTTTTAGGTTTAGTTTTAGTTTTACTGCCTTATAGGTAAGTCATCTGGCTAACAAGCTGAGAATAGTGCTGTTGTCTAGGTTCTCATGGACACTGTGTACCTCTTGTTATCAGTTTCCCAGGATGTGAGAGTGGGATGCAGCTTAAACTTGTAACCTATCATAAGTAAGAACTGCACTGCATTGACAGGTTGAGCAACCAACCCAAAGTAGTGTGATCAGCGCGTAGCTGCATGTACGGGAGACATTTTACTAAAAATACTGTTAGGTGCCCTAAATAAAGCTGGCTATCAGAGCATCATAATGGTGTGCTGTAGTCCGTCCCTCGCAAGGACCCCAACAGTTAACATTTTGGCCAATGTGTATTAGAGACAGTATTAAAGGCAGCTAAAAGTAGAAAAGCAAGGTCTGAGCTGTCAAGGTAATTGCCAGAGACAATGACAAAAGATGGTGAGTTCCCAGGAAGGAAGCAGGACGGTGTCACTTGGCTGTTCTAGCCCGGCTGGGTGGAGAGGGGATTGTCACTGATATGATGGTAGATAAGATAGTATAGCTGCAGTGCTGCTGCCACCTCACACTCAAAATAACAAGTCATGCTTCAAAACAGCATATTCTAGAAAAATGTGCAGTGGTGTTCCTCTCTGTGTGATGCTTTTTGCACTGCTACTCCATGCTTGCTTCATAGTTTTCAGCTCTGACTCTACTTTGAGGATGTCTAGATGCAGTTTTTCCTGTAAATGAGACCTGTGGTATTGAGATAATGCTGTGACTCCAGGTCTGGGGCTTCCAAAGCAAGAGGGATGTCATGAAATTCAGAGTGAGAGTGTGAGACTTGCCCCACGCTCCAGTACTAGTCTAGGAAGGGAATGTTTGCTTTTGGAAATCCCTTGCTTAGTTATGAGAGGACTGAAAAAATATAATGGTGGTAGTTTTGTTTGTGCAGAAATTTAGAGGATGGGTACAACACATTTTGGAAGAACATGAATGAAAAAGGTAATGATGTGATGCTCTGAATCTCAGCCTGCTTCTCAGGTGCTTATTCTTCTGCATTACAGTTCACAGGAAAGGTTGATCAAAATATGCTTTTCCCTTTTTATGTCAGGCATGTATAAATGTAGTTTCTGCAAACTGGAGTCACAGTCATAAAATACTTTTTTTTTTTTCCAAACTGTAACAGTTCATTACAGGCAAGGACCACTGTCAATGAACTGCTGGTTTCTACTCTAGGCCTTCTGTAGCACTATCAGTAAAAAAATGGATATGTGGGGCTGTTTTCTGTGCAGCGCTTCTGCTTGCAAAGAGGTTTTTTTCCCCCACAGTTTGAGAAATCTGTCTCAGCTTTTTGAATACCGGTGCAGCAGTACTAGAAAATTCCCTTGCATTTTTATTACTCAGAGTAGCAAAACCTCACGGGGCCCTTTTTCCCCCCAATCCTTTGATCCGACATCTTTTACTCTTGAAAAGTGTCACTCAGTTTCTTGGGATTGGTTGAAAAACTGTGAAACAACTGGCCAACAGATTTTCCTCATCCTTTTGTGTTCAAATTCAAAATCCAGTGAAATTTCAGGTTTGAAAAACATTTTGACCACCTCTGTGGTCCAGTTGCATTGGTTTGATTTCTTAAATAAATCCTAATGTATGTTTGTGTCTTTTTTTGTTATTTTGTTTTTCTCAACAGGACCTCTGGAGATTAATTGCAGTTTTGAAAGTTTCTTCTGTGTTTAAACCTGACTGAGTTGGCAAAATGTCTTCTCTGGTTCCAAAACTGTGGGACTACATCCCAGAAGAAATCCTGGTCCACATACTCTCTTATGTTTCTCTTCAGACTAGATGCACAGTCTTACAGGTGTGCAGACAATGGGCTGCAGCTGTTTCTTCTAGCTCTCTTTGGCACTTTACAGAGATCAGGTAAGAGGGATTGGTTTCTGTGTCCAAGCATCTTTGCAGGAATAACAAGATTGTTGTTTCCAGTGCATGTCAAACATTTACACCACTCTACTATGACATCTTTGACCTTTTGACTCTTAGGTGTGATGATATTATCTTGCATGACTAACACCTGTTTATATAATAGAGAAGTTTGTGTTATATGCTGTTTTTTTCAGTCGCTGATGATATGATGATTTGGGCTTTAGGGAGAATATTACTTTCTTAGGTACATTGTTCTACGTTGCCCTTAGAAAATGGCAAGAGAAAAATTACTGAATTGTTATTCTTCTTATTGTGACACTTCTCTTATGGGTCTTTCTGGTAACTGACTCTTCTTACCTGCTGACTCCTTCAGTGTTTGGCCTTAAGGGACTCTGCAGGCATCAGGTAAGAAGAAGTGACTGGGGAACCTGTTGATGTCTGCAGAAACACTAGTGGAGTATCTGCTCTGTGGCTGTTCAGCTCAGCATCTACAGTGACTAAGAGTTTGTTTTACCCTTCCAGTTGTGATTCAGAGGATGAGGAGAGCATGCTGCAGAGCCTGAGCTGGTTCCTCAGCCGTATCAAACACCTGAAGATTGTGTTTGACCAGTCCAGGGAGGTCAGCAGGCAGAATGTGAGATGCATCTTGGATGCATTGGCGAAAGAGAACCACACAGTGCAGCAGCTGCGCATTGTGTGCCGTGGGGAGAACCACTATTTCTACTCTGGCAGGGACATCCTAGAGGGCATATGGAATTTATGTGACACTAAGAACCAGATTGATCTTCGGTGTATTGATTTTCGGAAAATGCCTTTCACTCTTGATAATGAGCTTGTTGAACTCTTAGCTACCACCAACCCAAACTTGCACAGCTTGTTCATCAACAACCATGCTCTGCAATACAATGTGACACCAGATACCATCAGGAAAGTTCTCAGAGTGTGTCCCAGACTCTCAGCGTTGGGGGTTTCCTATTCCAGCTTGTCTGACAAGGTGTTACAGGAACTGCTCCAGCCTGGGAGAGCACCCTTCACCCATTTAGACATTTCCTATGGGTGCCCAGACAAATATATACCAGTCATCTCAGCAGAGCTCTGGGCTGCTCTAAGTCAAAAGCATCCTCAACTCTGTGTAGACCTGGAGTTTGATTCTATAATCCCTGTCTGCAAGATACCAGAGATCCTAAAGCCAAATATTCCTGTGAGTACACTGCAATTTAATGCCCAACTTTACGTGGACGATGAGATTAGGTATGTCACCCAGAACTACAGCAGGACATTAAAGAAGCTGCTGCTGGAAACCTGGCCCTCAGAGGACTTGAATTCCTCACTGATAGATCTGGCTAGGCAGTGCAGAAACCTGTTGGAGATCCACTGCAACTGTGTGGTCAGCCAGGAGGTGGTGGAAGCGTTCCTCACACACTGCCCCAGGCTGAGGTGGTACACCCTGAAGGTCGGCAAGGAACGGCTCCCCTGGCAGTGACAGTTCAAACTGTGTCCAGCTCCTACTGGCATTGAGCTACACAGTGAACATGTGTGCTTTAGAGCTATCTAAAGCATTTATACTACTAATAAAAGCATATTGTTCTCCAGATTCTATGTCTAGCTGTTTTACCACCTTCTCACCCAACAGCCAGCTAATTTCTATTGCCAAGTAACATGGGGTCTGTAGCCAAACTAGCTTATAATTTTGACTTTTCAAAACCTTGCCAAAGATGTGCAGCCCTGAGGTCTGGCCAGCCCTTGTGCTTCTGTGCCAGCCGAAGTTTAGGACAAGGAAATTGCAAAATAACAACTCAGGTGCCTTCATAAACCTGGTGCTGTTGTGCCTGGGCATCCCACAGGCTCTCAGCAGGTGGGTTTGCTCCGGTGACTTGCTTACCTCCCAGCATAAGGTGTGCAGCACGTGTTCCCTTTGCATGACACTGCGTATTTATTCACAGCTCTGCGAGATCGGCTGCAGTGCATTTTCATTCGGTGTATTGTTCTCTGGGGCTGGTGATGCCATCGCATTGTGCTGAGTTTTTAAGAGTGCGAGCAGCACTGCTGATGTGACTCCCTGGACGCTACTTTCCACTGGCCTGGGATAAAATTGGGTGGTTCATTCCCAGCCGGACGCAGGCGCGTGCAGCAAGGCAGGCGCGCCGAGAGCAATGGGGTTAGTGTAGCTGGGAGGGACACTGAAAAACTATGCAGGATTCACCCAGCTCTCTGGTGATGGATGGATATTCCAGCAATGTCCCAGCCTTCCTGACAAAACTCTGGACACTGGTGGAAGATCCTGAAACAAACCATCTCATCTGCTGGAGTTCTGTGAGTAGAGCAAGTATCGGGTGCCACTAATACCTCCACCACCAAGGGAGAACCCAGGTGCAAGGCCCAAGTACTGTGCTGCACAGCAGCTGCTCTTTGCTTTGCTGCCCATCTAACTGGGAGAGTGCCAGGGCTGGGAGCTCATTCCGGGCCCTTTTGGATAGACTTGGTGTTATTTACCTGCAGTATTGTGGTTTTTGTTTCAAAGAGACAACATGCTTTGGGCATGTTATAATACTAATATTTGTACATTTCACTTGAAACATCTTAAAAGGTGTCTCATATTCTAAAATAAAAATTCTTTCTTTGAGAGTGAGGTTTTGCACCTTGCTTAAATCTGTGGCTCCTTAAAATTTTCTAGAAAAGGTGCAAAGCCCTTAAAAAAATCTCACTGCTATTGGTATTATTTCACATGTAGCAGCCTTTCACAAATGTCTTGGGAGAATAAATCAGATAAACAGCATTCAGACCTCAAACTAAAACCTATAGTTTAAACAGATCTCAGGCATACTAAATCACTCACTTTTTGGAAGAGCTTTCCTTGATTTTTCAACAAATCTGTGATGATCAATGTTTATACATTGTTTGTACACTTTCATAGGGATAAATTGCTTTGCTTTGGTTTCTCATTTGTCACTGAGGCATTAATATACTAAGTGCAATGATAGAATTAAAATGGCTTATGTGTCCCTTCGTACAGCATTTTTATACCACACTGTGCTTTTGACCTGACTGAGACTTGCTGCAAATAATGTGATTTGTTTTCAGCAGGGTGTGCCAGATAAGCTGTGTGCATAAACTTGTTCTCCAAAATCAAGAGTCTGGGCCTAAAGCAGATTTAAAGGGGAGTGGGGAAAAAAGTCTAAAGCAGCCTTTCTGTCATGTGTTTGTCTCTGGTAGTGTTTTCATTCAAAACTTGAGATAAGATTTGAGCTCCATTGTCACCCACAGCCAGGGTTGCTTTGGCAGGTGTTACATGGCTATAGCTCTGAGAACCGCCAAGTTTTGGTATTGCATGTTTTAAATAAGGACTTTCAAACTGGGAATGATGTTCTAACATGTATAAATAGTCCTCTCTCTGTTGCACTTAGAACATTGTTATTTTTGATGGATCACTACCATGCTCTGTGTCCTTCAATTTAACATAGATTACAGCTACTTCCTTGGAGGTTTTGGTAAGGCTTTTAGCTGTCTAAATTTCCCATTGTTGTATGTTCCCATGTTTCCCATATTCTTCATCTTCTATACATTGGTGATGTTGGAGCTGAGAGATTGTGTGCCTGCCTAAGAATTCCAGATGTAATCAGAACTGGATTACATCCCAATCCCACTTCTTCTTAGCCTGAAGAAGTGATGGAGAGGAAATGTAGTAATAGCTTGTATATACACTAAAGGCTGTTGTAAGGTGGAAAGGAAATGTCTGCTCTCTGTGTCCATGGCAGACTAGACAAGAAGTAATTCTATTTTTTAAATGGAAGATGTAGTTAGGAAGAACTCCTGGCAGATTCCTGAAGTAGTGCTTGCCTGAGCAGGGCACAGGGTGTCATCACGGGTGTGTCAAAAGCAGTTAAGATAAGCATCTGCCACAACTGTCATGCTGCAGAGTCAGTTTTGCTTTGGGCAGAGAAGACTTTCAAAGTTTCTCCCAGCTTGTGCTCCCATGGTGTAAGACAGGCAGGGCACAGCTGCTGTGTGGGAACAAGCTGGCACATGCACAGTTCATCAGTGAACACACAGTAACTCCCAAGTCTCTTGTGTCTGTCGGAAGCTTTTTGGGTGCATCAGGTTCTGAGAACGTTGCAGCCCTGAATTCAAAGGAATAACCTCTCTAGAGAGGCCATGAGGAGACACTGAGGTACACAGAACCCTCCTGCTTCTCATTTTACATCAGCATCCTCAGCCTGGGACACAGAGCTGTGTCCCAAAGTAAGTGGGCAGAAGCACAAGGGAGCAGGATAAACCAGCTCTGTCCCCAGGGCAACCTAGGCAGTGTTGGGAAATCCTTTTCCCTGCTGTCATATCTGCAGGCTCTGTCTGTGAGGATTATTCCAGCATGCAGGTTATCTCTTAAGTGCTCCATCAGCCTTTGCTGCTTGGGGTAAGGAATGATAGGGAAGACCCTAAAATGGTCAAAGGGCACTGTTGAGGCACTGTCATGTTCAGTGAAGTTCATACAGCAGTGAACAAGGGCCAAGAAGTGCAGTGAAGTTCATACAGAAGTGAACGAGGACCAAGAAGTGCAGCTGACCCAAAGTTGCATGTTTATGGGTGTTAACTGCTGCCAAATGAGCCTGAGCACAGAGGGAATTGGCACCATTTGTTGGTGGAAATGCAGTGGCAACCAGTAGGGCAGCAGGGTTTGCCAGCTGGCTGTTTTCTGGTGGCCATGGGCAGGCTACAGGCACACCACCTTCAGTCACTGAGCTTTCTCATGGCCCTGATTGCACTCCCAGTTTTAGAAACTTCGAGGCTGCCCTGAGTGCACCCATGCAGCTGCAGACTCTGTGATGGGTGTGTGGTGGGACCCACACACCTCTGGTGCACAGAGCCTGAGAGCTCTTAGGTAACACTGTCCCCCTCTGTCACAAACCAGCCTGCTGTGAACAGCCCCCTGAGCTGACACACCACTGACTGCTTGTGATAATGCTGAACACAGCAGGAGGATGACTGTGGTGTGCTGGTCTCACACCCCTCTCTGCCAGCATTGTGCAGACCCTGGTGTCTTTTGCTAGGAGTCCCTCGAAACTTGCCTGCAGCTGAGCTGGTAGATCCCTAATATCTGCTGATGTCCTTGCACTGACATAGGTCTCTGATTCTCACCTGTCCCTCTAAAATCTGTGGTGAGCTTAGGCTGCACAGTTGGGTGGTTTCCCAGGTAGCTCTTTGCAGCTCTTTCTCTCTCCACATGCAAAACCAGTGTGAGCCCCTTGATACCATTCTCTGCAAGTTAACAAAAATGCCACATGCACTCCAAACTCCATGTCTGAAGTCATTATTCTTCTTTCCTTCAAATGCCTGTGCTGCCTCCCCATCCATAGCAGAGGTGGGAAACAAGGTGTTTCCCCTGTCCCCATATCCTGGAGACACTGGAGCTGTTGGGGTTGGGAGTTTAGAAAAAGGTGTTTCTAAGTGTTGGTTGCAGATAAAAATTAATTGCCAATTCTTCCCTCCCTTAAAAAGGTGGCATGAATTGCTGTTTGCAAAATGTTTGAAGGCATCTTCAGCGTGTGGTGCCTCCCACAAGCCTTCTCTGTGCCATCTTAGCTGTCAGAAGTCCAGGCAGGGAGAGCACAGGGCCTGCAGTGTATCTCCCTGCCAGCAATCCCAGGCAATTTGCCTTGTTTTGCAGTCATGGGTGTTTGCAATGCAACCTCAGAAATGGATACTTTCTCTGCTTAACATGTGTGTTGTTAGCTTGGACTGCAAAGCATGACTGTCAACATTCTGTGGGTTGCCTTTGTGGCTGTGTCCTTTTAAAAATAATCAAGAGAAGGTGCATAGAGCTTCTGGGTCAGTGGGGGGTCACCAGAGATGATTTGCTTCTTGCCTTGCTGTGTTTCTTGTGCCATGTCTCCAGGCAGTGCTCCCTTTGGGACTGCTGTGCTCTGGAGCAGGTGGGTTGGAGTCAGACCTGAACTAGCAGACTGAGGGCTTATAATGGCAATTCCCACTTTCCAGGGCCACCCTAAGACACCAGAGGCTTTCTGTGAGGTCCATGCAAGGTGGGGCACTATCACAGACTACCAACTATTTGGACACAAATCAGTGGTTTCTTTCTCACACCCAAAGCTCTCAGCTAAGCAGCAGCAAAACTCAGTAGAAAAAGATCAAACCTGCAGCTGTAGAGGACTGACTGTACCAGAAATGAAAGGAGCACATCCTTCACTGGGGGCTGTTTGCACTTTTCTTAGCTTCAAGGTGACAATTCAGAGAGCATGACTTCCCCTGCTGTAGGACTCCTCCTGGGCCCCTCTCATGCTCAGGGACAATCCTCTGACTTCGCCTTTGTCCTTATGTCCTTTGCAGAATGGCACCAGCTTCCATGTGTTTGACCAGGGACGCTTTGCCAAGGAGGTGCTGCCCAAGTACTTCAAGCACAACAACATGGCCAGTTTTGTCCGGCAGCTGAACATGTGTGAGTGGCCCAGACGTGGGGGAGCAACAGGAGGT